CTCTCCACGCCCCCAAAAAATGAAATCATTCCACCTCTGTTCAAAATGCACACTGCTGAACTGTTTAAATTGCCTTTGTTTTTAGTGRAGGAACAAAACCTAATAYAGTTTTCATGGGTGTGCAYCAAGCYTGGAATTAYCARCWGGGTCTGAAATGGTTCTAAAATAAGAAGCTTACAATTTCACTTAAATATTATCAAGTTAATTTTGAAGATTTATGTAGAAATTAAATCACACTCGGAACGATTTTACAACTCACCAAGGAAATAAAGTTTGTTCATGTGCAAGATTTGGTAGTATGTGGACAATAGAGCAACAATCATTTTTAGATTTTATATTAGTCAATGTTGTTACACCTAACCCTGCAGTGTGATCATGAGCTACTCCAATTCTTTGTTGTCTCTTTCAACAGTCTTAGCAAAGTGTAAATCTGTCTCTGTCACTTATATAATTTCACTGGATAATGACTCATTTAGAAGCAACCACGTTCAACTGCATCACTTTATATGCTGAAGCAGGAATAAGTTGTAGGCAGAGACATAAGCAATTTTGATGAAACTTTCACAGTAAAATGTCAAAGTAATATGTTGTAAATCCCTCTCAGTGCAATACTCATAACAGAATTTTTAAAGAGGCATAGAACATATTAATATTTGTATTGTAAGTGTGTTTTCACCATKGCACCTGGTGTAACTCATTGGGAAATCAGTTTGGCAACCACAAGKATTTTAGAGGCATAAAACTATCAGGTTGTGGGGGGAAAAAAAGAAGTATCAAGTTTTGGGGGGAAGGGAAAAAAAAGGTATCTACAGCTTTAAGGGAAAGGGAAATGAGACTATTCCTTGGGATGAACCATTTTCAATTACAGCTTGACCAAAAAAAAAAAAAAAAATTGAGCCTGAGGTGAATTAAAATGGCTAAGCACTGAAACTCCTTAAAAACAGACTTTTAAAGAGAAGCCTTCACAGATGGAACTTTAACTGCACAGCACAGCCGGGTGCTGTTACAACGGGCTTTTTTTTTATTATTATTATTAACTTTGATCAAAGCTTATTAACCAGCAGCATCGAGCCATCAGTGGATTGGGCTACACAGGAGAGCTAATTAAATTTAAAGGGCCACGGGCTCCTGAGGGCACAACACGAAATCCCAGGGCAGGAGCTTGAATGGAATCAGTGAGAGCATTTGCTCTGTGAGGCATTGGAAGATACCAAGGTGCTTGTTCTTATTTACTTGTTCTTATTTACTTGTTCTTATTTACTGTGGGCTCTGCAGAGGGTTTATCATAGCCAGTTCTGACCTTGTCCTCGCCATCAAACACGCAGGAAAGTGTGAGTGCAGAATGTCAGGGGAAATGTGGAATATTTCCATGTGCCTCGGTAAGAAACACAGATCACAAAATTTTATTTTATCCAACGGGGCAGGTCGTGAAATCTTCCCCACCCTAAGGGAGAGGTAACTTCTACCAATGTGAAATACAACTACAGAATTTAGAGCAAGACAAAAAAAAAACAGAGAAGATGCAAGCTGACTGTAAACTGRTGCACAGTCCTTGTTTTGTCCAGAGGCAGACACACGCAGCAGCATTTAGAATTGAAAATAACAATAATAAATCATGAAGTAATTTCTGCCATCATTTTCTTCCACCTGCTACACCACTCTTCGTATCTACTACAGATTGGAGTAATTAAATCTTTCCCTCCTTGGGAGGAGGAGTAACATTCCCTTTTCTGGTCACTTTCCAAGCACTGTGAAGAGCAAATTATCACCCTCCATCTCCCTTTCAAGCTCCTAGGAAGGCAGCAAAGACAGGGGACATTTATACCAATTTTACTTATGTTTTAAAACCCTCCTGACATGTGGACCACTAAAGCATTTTTCAGTTAACAAAAGGCTGTGATTTGTAAGACAAAGATATGATTGCAAACTGTGATATCAAGTGATGTTTTATTAGTCTGATTTGCTATTTCAGGATGTGAAACAAAATCAGTAAAATTCAGCACAGAGGGTAAGAAGGAGGATTTAATAAGAGCTGGGTTGTCCTTAACCAGAGAAAGTGTTTCTTTATCCTAAAATGACAGAAACATCTTCACTCCCTGTGGTGGCTGAGTCACCCAGTCACTTTGGTGGGCTACAAAAATCACAGCCTGGCAGTTTCTGGGGTTTGTGGTTTGCTTCCTTTTCTCTTAAAGAAAAATTGGGTCCAGTATGCACCAACCTGGAAAAGCCTTATCACACTCCACACCTCTTGGTGATATTTCCACCTCTGCTCCAAATGCTGAAACTCTGCTTTCAGTAGAGAAAACACCACCACCTGGGTTTGGTGAMTCAGACAAAATCTCCCCAACCCTGCAGTGAAACCTCAAGACAAACCAAAACCAACCTCATCCTGCTGCCAAGGAACATTTCTGACACCTCATCCATGAAGAACTGCTTAAACAGGAGGAGGATTTCCTTCCTCTCTTCCTTCCCCTCTCAAGCAGGAGCTCACAGGCATTTCAAGGACCTGACATGTCATCTGTAGCTGCTGCTTCTGAATTTATTAAACTGCAGTGAAAGCTGGAGCTCTTTGCCTTCCACAAACTCACATTCACAGCCCTAAATAATATTTCTAATATTTCAAATAAATTCCCCCCATGCTCATGGCATGATGGGCAAAGCTCCTGTATAGAATCACATGCAGTATTATTTATAAATTTWTTACCATTTATAAATGTTGTGCTATTTCTAAAAGGTTTATTTCTCATCAGGTGTTTCTCTGAATGCTTTAGTATTAACTAATTCAGTTGTAATTTGTTCTTTYACAACATGAAGCATTAACTACATCAGTGTGTAGGCAAGACAAAAATTACCATGTTTCCCCTGATCTTTGCTGTAAGCTAAGAAGAAGAAATTACTGTAAAAAAGCAAACAAAAAAAAAAAGAAGAAGAATTTTTAGGTAAACTTTTAGGCTCCAGTTTCTGCCCTTTTACAAAGATTGCACTCACTCATTTTCTTAATATTTTCCTTCATTGGGTCTTGTTACAATATTTGCATGACATCAGCACAAGAGTGATAACTAAGTGTGTCACTCAATTTTCTTTTAATAAACATCAGCAGGTTTTCCTTCCAAATCCACTGGAATACCCTTAGTGCCCCAAAAATTCAGGGAGAAAAACAATTATTGGTGGCTAAGAAAAACCTTTGGATAAGGTTTACTTRTAACTCATAACTCCTGCAATGACATTTCAAGTCCAAAAACAAAGGAAATACAACGACTAAGAGACTAAGATAAACAGAAAAAAAAAACCTAAAATAATCTTTTTTATCTTTTATATCTCACAGTCCTTGATGTCTCCATGAGCTTCTTTATCCACTCATTCTACTCATCCCTGAATCACTTTTTTCTCCATAAAGACATGGTCAGCCTCTTCCTGAGTGTGAAAATTCTGTGCCAAACCTCAGATATACTCAAGACTCAGATATATTCAATATTTCTAAGGCTCTCCAAAATGTTCATTAGAAGAGAAAGATGTGTGCACAGGTACAAGCCCTTATTGTAAGAACTCACTGCCTTGAAAAACTCGAGTGTGTTACCCAAAGGATTAAGTTTATAATTTCATTTATCTGCAAATTTTGCAGCTGAACTCTCCAGTCAGGACCAAAACTGTGAGGCCTGCATCCCTCAAAGGTGAAAGAAAGCACATTTTTTGTTTGCAACTCAAATAAAAACACAATTGCTGCATTTTCCTGTGACACTGATCACTCCAGTCCCTCATGAATTCCTGAGCAGGGCAGTGGGTKTTGTTTTAATTATTAAATACACTATCTCAAAACTCTCACTGATCTAGTTAAGCCCCACTGAATTTAGAAGACTCCATACTTTCCACTCTTCCTTGCATTTCACAAAACAAAATATTTCTCATCATGTGCTCTGAACTGACCCGTTCCCATGTGAAAAAAAAGATTTCTCGAGAGCACAGTGCAACATTAGAAGATTTCCTTCTGTGATCACAGTTTCCTCCACTTGTCTGAAGCTCTGCCTACTTCATATAAAGCCAGAATTTCCTTAGCAAACAGCAAACTTTTCTTAGACAAAGCTGTTTGCCCCTGGCAGCAGAATCTTGAAAACTTCCCAATGTGCACAGAAATTTGCTGTTTTACAGGAGCACAGTGTTGTCTGTGTTACTTTCACCTACAGAGGAAATAAAAAGGTCCAGTGAGAGAACCCATAGCAAAGTTTGCAGACCTGAAGGGAAGTTGACATGTTTATATTTTTTTTTATTTTTATTTACATATATGTGTACATATCTATACACCTATATAACCATATAACAACTAGCAAGGCAGTTTTGAAACTCTGATTGCATTTGCCCCGTGTATTCCCACTAGTTTATCACAAACATGCCAAAATTCTGATTCACAGTTAAATATCTTCTACTGTAYCATGGGCCATCACTGCACATCCCACACACTTTACAAGGCTCCAGTCCTGGAAAAATTTGTCAGATYAAGTTCCACGAGCATCTTCACAAGGCCAAAAATTCTCTGACAAATTAAAGCGGATTCTGCTATAAATACACTTCCATTCCATTTATGCACACAGCTCTTTTTATAGCTGTTAAACCTCCTCTCTTTCCCCTTTTTAAACACTATTGAAGCTGTCAGGAGCTACCTTTTACACTTTATCAATCACGGCGCACACATCATGATTCCTAGAATTTRAAAAGGAATTGTTGATGGTTCAGATACCGTTAGACTGTCATTAGCYCTGCAAAGTGTGTAATTTGTCACTTTGCAAGAAATGACAGTGCCTTCACTCGTGCAACATGCTTTTAAACCTCCCCTCTCTAATTTGAAAATGCCAGTATTGTACTCTTGCTTCAGAAGGGGTATTTTTAAGGCTTGCTGGTTGGCTTGTCACAGAGCAAATCTGTCAGGTAGTATTTTGCYTTCCTCGAGGTTTATTCACACAAAGCCTGTCTGTGATATCACACAAAGACAATGTTTTCTGTCCTACCTGATGGCAACGAGGCCCGTGTTAAATTTTCACTTTCCTCATCAGTGCTGGCATCATAGTCGTTTTCTCTCTTTATAACCGTCTGTGTRGTAGCTATACTATCCCTGAAAAAAACATTAAAAAAGGGATGGAGAGTTAGATATTTTTTGTTTCCCAAAGGAATTAGACAATTCAGGGAGAATATTCTGCTTCYAGGGATGGCAGAAAGAATTCTCCTCTCCCATGAATTCAGGATGGRTTTGGATTATCCACCACTCACTGACAAAGAAATGGGAACTGAGCTAAACTAAACTCAAATATCCACCAGGTACCTCACCAAGAAACCCAGGGAAATTAACAAATACCTTGCACATTTGGCATCCACTGCAGATTCTTTAGCTTCACTCAACAACTTCTGCAAGTTTCTTATCTTTGCCTTCTTTTCATTCAGCACCAAAATAAACCGGCTGTAAAGGTCTGCCTCCAGCTCCTCTTTAGCTTCCACGCATTTTTCCAGCCTGCAGTACAAAATTAACTGTTACACCAATTCTTCTGTTTCCTGGAAGAAAATTCTGTCGTGAGTCCAACCTGCCTCTTACAGGAATCCCCATTCCAAACCATGCACAACTGGTCCAGAATCTCATGTCTGAAACAGGCCAGAAAAAGCCTTCTTTTTTTTTTTTTTTTTCCACAGAAAAGTTCAGTGAACTTTACTACCAAAAGGGAAAAGTTTCCAAATGTGAACCTTTCTCTACAGGATTTTTTTTTTTTTACATAGCTCTGAGACAACTAAAATTTAAATAGGTAAGTGTTTTTTATTGTCAATGCTCAATCACCACAGTGGGCATACCTTAGCAGGACACACATAATGAGATTATAAATAGATATGACTCAGATTGAAAGGTCCCAAATGTGGACCACACAATGATGTAAAATGTATTTGAAGAGGAAAAAAAAAATTCCCAAATATAAAAATGCTTAAAAGCTCTTAATATCCTCAGAGAAAAATACTCTTCAGTTCTGTTTTTTTTTTAATTAATATGCAATTATGGGTAGGTGAATGTCAATAAAAGGAAGCACAATGGAAGTATTAAATTAAGAATATGGGTGTATAAAGTCTCATAAGCAAAACTGGAAYACAAGCAAACGTCAGCCCAACAAATTCATGGCAAATGTAATTCTACATTTACGTCTTTTATATCATAATCTTTCAGTCCTTGAGTTGAACCACAAACATTTTATTAGGTGTGTACACAAGAAGCAAGCAAATATCGTGATGATCTGACTGATCATGGTAAATATAGTGAGTTGTCATAATTCATAAATACATTTTTCACGAGCCTGTGCAAGGCTGTGAAAAAGTTTAGAAAGCTTATTAAGCTATTAARGCTTATTATGCTATATACTATGTGAAAAAGTTTAGAAGGGTTATTATGCTCTATCTGCAACAGACTTTAAAAATATTAATTTATAAGGTAAGAGATTCCAACAGACTTTCTACATAAATACTAATTATTTTGTTCACAGATCAAAACCATGTGTGATGTAAGAAGCAAGACAATAGCAAAAAAAAAAAAAAATCTCATGAAGTATTAAGTCTACTGTGCAACGCTTTAGGGATATGCTTGCTAGTTGATAAATAATTCATCTAATTTAAATGCAAATAGCAGCACATCATTACCATATAGATCAGTTCAATAATTCCTAAATGAAAGATCATAGGTACTAATCAACCACCAGGAGACTTTCCACCTACAAAAGAGAAGTTAACTGTTTGGTGGGGAACAAATAGACAATTCACAAAGAATCATAAACCCTAATGCAGGGCCCTGGACAAGTATTAGCTTGATACTAATTATGTCTGTATACATAAAAATGGGGGAGAAAAAAGGATTTTGTCTAAAATATGCTAATCTTGTCTGTATCAAATCCTGTAGAATAATCCCCTCTCTGACACATAAACCAGGGAAAGTGGTTACTGTCTGCCTTTGCTTTGCCAAGGCACTGGTTTGTGTTGGAGCAGTTGAGGCTGGCTCAAATATTGAGAAATGTGGCTGACTTGGCCAAAAAAATGCCATTTAAGATAACTCCAGTGAGGCCCTTGAGTGCTGCAAAGACATCCCCTGATGAAAACCCAYGAAAATGGAAACTTCCAGTGAAGTAAACCTGATGCTGCCTGGGCTGTGAGCTGTACAGGAGAGAAATCCACACTGCAAGACTAACCAGTTTCTTCAGTCTCTGGAGAAAAAAAATTAGCATCTTGAATATTAGAATTAGAATATTAACTCTTCCCTCTGGGCAACACCAATTAGTAGTATGCCATCAGTTAATATTATATGACTGTTTTCATTTACATTTACAAAGGTGAACACCTTTTCTTGATATTTTCTTCCCCCATTATTCAAAGTTRTCCACACCCAAATACATTCTCCAGATGGCAGAAATGGCATTAATTTGGCAAAATACTCAAGGTAAAAGCACTAAATATCACAAAAGTATCACATTAATGCTGTATTTGCAAGTAATGAGCCTTTGCAGTACACTATTGTATGGCATATCTGATACTAGAAAAGAGAATGGTAAAAGGCAAAAAAAAAAAAAGGCAAAAAAGTAAAAGTCTTGGGGACAGAGGTGCATTAATTGTGCAGGTGTTTAGGATGCACTGAGGCATTTAACCTCAGAGCAGAGCTGGCTGGGGGTCTCAACAATACAATAAACTGAGAAATTAATAATAAAAAACAAGATTTCAAGCGCTGCCTCAACACAGAGCAATCACACACACGATGCACAGAGGTGAACGTGAGCTATGAAATTTAATGGCATTTATTTAATTATTAGCAGCATCCTTAGCACTCCAGCACCATGAAAGAAAAAAACTGCATCTGTGGTATTCATCCCTGTTCCCAGTGCTCTAAAATAATTCCTGGAACTCACGGCACTGCTCCCTTGCATTTCAGATTCACCCTTCCCCCAGCACTGGCAATGGTATGGAATGTTGATGAGCTAATGCTGAAGACTCAGTTTCAAGCCCCAAAGTACCTAGCTTGCATTTTTATAATCTGYTTGTGGTTTAAATACACTGTGACTGCAGTTGACCACCACATAAATTAGCAGTTATTGTGAATTTGGCTCGTCTACACAAATTTTAGATGCCCAACAGTAAAATAAGCGTCCATGACCAAATCAGGAATTTGATTTCTTTTGTTTGAGGAATTACTTGGCTACAGGTTATTATTACTTAAAATTTGCCACTATTATGATGGAATCATAGATTGGGTTGGGTTGGAAGGAGAATTAAATCCCATCCAGTGCCACCCCCTGCCATGGGCAGGGACACCTTCCACTGTCCCAGGATGCTCCAATTCCCCTCCAATCTTGAGGTAATTGGCCTGGAATTTTCTGTAAAAAAATAAAGAGAACACCTACTCTGCTCTGATATTTTAGCTCACCCATCCCTGAGGTGAGAGACACAGACACTCTCATCCCCAGGTACCCACATACTCACCAAAACCACAGTGATGGTCAAGAAAAGAACAAGGACAAGAAATGGGATGATTAAATTATTCCACCCCATGATTAAAAGGCACAAAAGCAGCTCTGAGAAGCCTGCCCTGCTCTGTTTTAATTCTGAGGAGAGAGGTTYGTGAGCAGAGGGACCTGCAGGGGCTGTGGAGCTGCTGCACCACGTGCTCCACATTTGATGTTTCACCACTCAGCGCCGTGAGTGATGCGGGATGTAAATCCTGAAATCCTGCCTCCCGAACAAAGACAGGCACAGCTTTGTTCAGCTCGGGGGCAACTCGCAGCATCTGGAGCCAAAAYAGCAAAGGGAGGCAGCGGGGTACACTGGGCTGCGGCAAAGAGAATTAAGAAAAAACACCAAACCGAATTTAAAAAAAAAACAAACAAAAACCCTCCCCCCAAAAAAACAGACCAAAAAAGCCCAATACTTCTTGAATGAAAACGATTTTTGAATTATTTTTATTCTGCACTTAACAGACACGGCCAAAGACTGGTGACCATAAAACCTTCAGTGTTTATTTTGAAAAACCATGTTTCATCTACTCAAACTATAAACATAGCTTAAGAAACCCACCAGCTTGCACTGCTCTTGAGAGCAAAGTCTGTCACGCAACTGAGATTTTTTTTTTCTGGTTTCAGGGGTTTTTTTTGGGGGGAAGGTGTGGTTTTTTGGTTGTTTTTCCTCCTTTTTCTTTGGGGTTGGTTTGCAAAAAGTGCCACCCCACCATGGAAATTGATACAAGCACTAATGCCTCTTACACATCAGCGTGTAATGCAGTACAGAACACGGGTTACACAATGCACCATTGTTCAATTACACTGCTGAGCAGTAAAACACTACTTAGGGAGGCCCTTGGCTTGTCAGGGAGACTGTCAGGAGAAACTGTTACTCATTTTAATGAGAGGGAAACAAAACTAACTCCTCCCCAAAAGTTGGTTCTCTTTTTCAAGGTAAATTAACGCAAAATTAGCTGCGAYTTTTCATTCAATCTTTTTTAGATTGCGTGTTTTTCCAGGTARAGCTACAGAAAAGCAAGATAAATTTCTGACTACTTTGTGCTAAGAGTTTTATGCTCGCTGAAACAAGGATAGCTTATTTCACTACAAAATGACAGACAATTCAGATCATAAATGCAGCAGTGATTACAAAAATCTCTTTCAAAATAATGGTACTTTTGCCTATAATACTGCATTCATTTTTCAATTCTAGCTGCTTCAACAAGGGAAACAGATGAAAGAAACAGCAACTTATTCCCCACTCAGAAATGTAAATAATTTACAGTCAGTCTTAAGAATTACAGGAAATAATGTTAACAAAAAAGCTTCCTAGAGAAAGTGAATTCTACAGATAAGAGGTGGTTTGTTTGGTTTTTTTTTTAAATTCATAGGCTAAAACCAGCTTTAACTGCAAATTTTTAATATCTGTTGCACCTCTGCCAAATGTAGGAGATCCACAATGATGTGAGCTGTGGGTAACTGAGCTCAAAACAYCTCTCAAGGGCATAAAAACCCCTGTCCACTGCTGCTGAGTTTCTCASATGTCACYYATGAATCCACCTGGGAGCTCACCTCTTCTCCACGTCGCTCCAGCTGCTGAAAAGCCTTTCATTTTCTCTCTGCAGATGCTCAGTTTTGGCCCGCAGCTTCCCCAGGCTGTCCAGGCAGTAACCAATGAGTTCCTTGACCACCTCTGCTGGTTTTGGGACTTCCTGCAGCTTCAGAGATCCGAGTCTGAACTGGGGCACGAGGAAAGAATGAGTTATTTCAACTGTGCAAGAAACTTCACGAAGGCTTTGCTCCACTAAACTTGAATGCAAATAATTAGCACAAGAAATACCTTACAGTGCAAAGGGAGATAATAAATTTTTGTCACACCAAGAATGGAGGAATAATCTACATGTTAATTCTTTCCAGAGGGTCACAATGCTGAGGAGGAGTCAGGAACATCTCAGAGCTGAGCAGAGGCTGTGGGAGCTGTGCTGGCCAGGCTGGAGAAGGGAAGGGCACAGGGGATCCCATTAATCCATACAAACATCTCCCAGGGCTGCCAGAGGATGGGGCCAGGACAGGATGAGGGGCAGTGACCAGAAAATAAACCACAGCGAGTTCCAGCCCAGCAGGAGGAAGAATTTCTGTCCATGGAAGGGCAGAGCCTGCAAAAGCTGCCCAGGGAGGGTCTGGAGTCTCCTCTCTGGGGACATCCCAACCCCATCCCAAAGCTGGACACCTTCCTGTGTCCCTGCTCCAGGAGACCCTGCTGGGTGAGCTCCAGAGGGACCTTCCAGCCCCAAATATCATTCTGGAATTTCCCTGGTTTATGTGTCAGAGAGGGGATTATTCTACAGGATTTGATACAGACAAGATTAGCATATTTTAGACAAAATCATTTTTCCCCCCTTTTTTTTATGTATACATAATTAGTATCAAGCTAATACTTGTCCAGACTCTTCTGGGCCTTGCATTAGGGTTTATGACTCTTTGTGAATTGTCTGTTTGTTCCCCACCAAAAAGTTATCTTCTCTTCTGTAGGTGGAAATGATGATGGAATTGTGTGTCATCTCCAGGGTTCAGACAGCAAGTTCCTAATCATAAAAGGAGTCCTTCAATTAAACAATTCTRTAATGAACTGCTGTATTTCTGCAGTAATAGGGTGCTGTACAGGATGTACAAGAGGTCTGAACAGATTTATTTTGCCTGGTGTGGGAAAAAAAAAAAACCACAGAAAACTGCTGCATTTATCATGTTAAAGGAAGAATAGCTCAGCCATACATCCAAACCAGTGCCAGCTGAGCAATAACCAGGCAAAGCTGGGTGAACACATATTAATATCCAACACCAGAAGGAGTTTGAGGCTGCTGGAAGAAGGTCCCATGTGTTATTTTTAAAAAGGCAAATCAGGCATGAAGAGCTTGTCTTTGGGGCTCTGGAGTGGGTAGAGGATGGGGAAACTGAGCCCTCTCAAGGTAGACTACTGTAGATGAGAAAACTTACAGAAGCCCCAAGGGAAGAACAGGTTTTGAGAAAAGCAGTGGATTGGAAGACAATTGTGAGTTTGGCCAGCCTAAGCTGCAATAGAAGCAGATCTTTCATGAAAAATGAGACATTGAAATGACTTGGATTTGGTTGGAAATTGCTGCAGAAGCTTTGGGTAGGTGAGGGGTGCATGGAAGGAGAAGGAGTCCTCTCTTGCATCTTGCAGTTATCAAAAAGACTGATATAAACTTTGACTGACATAAACTTGAAAACACAGCTATAACACCTTAAAAAACACATAAATGAAAGTGGTACATGCTAGGGAAGAGTTCACTTTGTGTTGTGGCACCTCACCTATTAAAATCAGAAATGCAGTTTGATTCATTTTCCCCCATTTTACTTGGAAGTGCATGGAAAATTACATAAAAGACATGGAAAGGAAAAAGAAAGAAAAATAATTTTTTTTTTTTAAAAAGTCTGCTGTTTGTGAACACCTTTTTAAAAGTAAATTACCAAATGCCATGCGTAAAGTTTGGCTGAAAAAGGCCTGGTAAAAAACTGCTCACAAAGCTTTCAAAGGCATTGTTTTAAACAAGTAACAGTCCTTTGAGTGGGACCTTTTATYTGTGGAAGTCCCTGCCACCACACATGATACCATCGTGACCTTCTTCAGCAAGGTCAGGCTATCAGAAAACGCGTAAAACCCAAAGGTTTAATTTCCAATTAGCCACCAAATCCACATGTGCTGCCTCTTAACACGTTGTTGTCTTTAGCTGACGTACATCTGATGGCCACAGATGAAAAGATGCCTCTAATTTATTTTTGGAAAATTAGATTACGCTATCAGTGGCCCGCAGATTGGCGTGCACCCCCCTGAATATCACACTTGTTGTCTGACAGCATTAACAAGGACGGACATTTGTGTAAAGGAAACTGTTTTTCATCACTTGCAAGCCACCAAGGCACTATTTGGATAAAGAATTCACAGAGATAGATAGAGAGGCACAGTAGCACAGATAAACAGCGTCACAATCCTCCACCGTGGAGGAAATAGCAAGGAGAGCACGTGGTTTTTGTTTTATGCCTTATTCAACTGAGACAAGGTTTAGGCAAATATCAGGACAAAAAAAATTACAGTTTTCACTGCACAAAAAGAACAAAACACACATAATCCYAAAACAGGTTGAAGTGAGTGGCAATAAAATTATTCTGCAAGCCTGGTACCRCAACCAAAATCACGGCAAACACACAGCAGACACTCCAAAGGCAATTGTAATTATAAAAAAAAAACCAACCCAACACTGCTACAGGAGACAAAGTGCCCATCCTTGCAGGTATTGAAGACMATCACTGACATTTAATCTTTAGTTTAGCCTTTAATTCAATCTCTGTGCAAAGTAATTCACTGTTATTTACTTTCTCACACTAAAACCTCAATGTCCTGCTTTCTCTGCCTTAGACACTGTGGACCATTCCTAGGAAAGGTGAGCAAAGCAAAGCTGGCACCAGGAGGCTTACATTTATCA